AAAGTGATTTGGTTAGTTACGGTCATATGTCAACTTCGATGCTTGTGAGTGTGTATGTATGTATGTATGTTTTTGATTTTTTGAAAAAATTCATATACCACTTTTTAGGGATTTGAGTTGAATGAGTTTTCTTGACTTATCAGCTTGAATGTTGTTGTGACGATGATACCTTCGTCTGATGATGTCCGTCACATGACGGACGAAAGCTCAGCTCGTGGTCACCTTCGAAACAGCGTCGGTATGAATCTTCCAGTAAAGCCAATCGACAGCTGGTCAAGAGGAATCGGCCGTCGTCTTTTGGTGGAACCGACCTTTGAATCTATTCACGCAACACTTCCACTCGAAATGGAAGTAAGCTGAACAGTATGAAAGTACATGAGGAACAGAGTCGTAGGTCAATCTCGCCAGAAGACGACGGCTGATTGGCGTTGTACCGCAGCCGTTTGACTCTAATACGACGTTCCGGTTGATTCAGTACACAAGACATCCTCCAACCTTTCGGGTAGATGGACTGAGCCTTCGTTCGTCATGTGACGAGAATCGTCAGAGCTGGGACTCACTCTTGTATGAAATATATACTCTTTGCGAGCAAAATATAAGATATACATGGGTATAGAAAAGCTTGATTAATTCACGTATAGTCTTGGCTGTTTGTGTGTGTATGCATATTAACGTCTGTAAGCAAAACCGGTCATAAATCAGAGTAATTCGAGAAAAGCTTAACATCAGCTTCGGATAATCAAGAAAAAAGGATGACCGAGATTGCGTCAGTTCGCAAGTAACCCCGGTTACATTGATGAAATGTAAGCTCAAAAGAACACTCCACACTTGATGTAAATAGGCACGGAAAAATTGTGATAGTGAAGGTGTGATACGAGGATATGGGATAGGTGAATAGTCCAGGAGAAGTGAGATACCATAACTGTTTAGCACACATTTGGTCAAAGGATCGGCTTCACTTGTCTCTTTGACGAGTTTTTGTGAGGTGCTAAGAATGGCAAGACTCACCGACGATGCCGGTGAAACTTCTGGGAATATACCACATCCCCGATCCGACCATGAGAATTGTCATGCATACAATGGACTCCGGACTAGGTGTGTTTCTCTTAGTCTTCTTACCAATACGATCGAGTTGCAAAAACAAGGTCAAACAACTTCCATTAAACATATTCTTCTTTTTTGACCGTTTTAACTTTTGGTCATTTTTGTCCCCTTCATCATTTAGTATATCTCGTTCTCCTGGACCATATTAACATTTAATATCCATATTGAAGTCTATTATTATATAATTTCTTGTACTGAGTAAAATAGGCTTTTTCTTAAAGCAGTGATTTAGTTGATTGCTTATAAATCCTCATTTACAACTAATCAGCCATATATTATATTCTATTTTAAATGTTAATACTACACGAACAAGTTGCAAAAACAAGGTCAAACAGCTTCTATACAACGAAAGGAGACTGCAATAACACACAAAGACCACATCATCTTGATCTTCATATCTTCGATTAACTAATTCTCACTAAAATTTCTACCACAATTCATCACATCAAACATCATAATCGGCAAACCTCTGGATACGAGACAATTCAGTGTCATGCCCAGTATCCGTCTTGTGTTCCGCCACTTTCGACTGTTGTGATGCGCTGATCTTTGGTGGATCGAGCGACTGGTATCGCCAAATTAAGGTCAACCAAAGGAAAACATAATCTTGGAACAGCCTGATCTTGATAGTGGATTATATTTCTCCCTAAAAGCAGGTATAATCGAAAAAGGTTTCAGACTTTCTTTAAAAGCCATCTTTGTCCCCCACTTCCTCACTAGTTCTCCAAGCATGTTGGAAAGAAAACATGACGGCAAGATTAGAACATGTGAAAGGGTTTTGGTTTGCCTCTGACCAAATAGTCTACGCCTGAAAGTTTATTTATTTTTCGTATTTAAGTAGTCTCAAGGCTACCAGTAAATCAGTAATATGAGATGTATTCACACAATTTCGTTTAAAGTGATGAATGACTGGTAGTAGAAATTTCTCACGTTGATATATTAGTAGAGCTTACGTTTCCATTGAATTTCACACAGCCTTGCTTCCCACAAGTTGTTTTCATCCAGGGTGGACTGCAGTTTCGACCTCGATCAGAACAACTTGTGGGAAAGCAAGGCTTTGTGAAATTTAATGAAAACGTCAGCTCTATTTATATCATTGTGGGAAATTTCTACTACCAATACTTCATAACCTTAAACGAAATTGGATGAATACACCTCATATTACTGAAAGTTTATTCTTCAATCAAGATATTTAATTATCAATTAAGCCCGAATAAAACTTTCATTCCTCTTAATTCTTCGTTTAGATGATTTTCATCCGTAAGCTTCATATTCCTAATAATAATAGTTTTAAAAACGCCAACCTTAGTTTTCAGAGTGGGTTGTCAGGGCGACTTAGTAGAACCTACTTTGTATGAAGTCATCGGCCATAGTAGTTATCATAAATACCAGCATCAGACAGTGGACTTTGTACATTTTCGGTCGTTCGACGTCATCTTCTGTAAATGTAGCCATTCTCCGAATCAAGCTACCAACTCGTCACAGACAAGTGAGGTCAATCCCTCAACCACCGTTCTCCCGAAAACGGTTACACTATAACTTTTTTTTCTGTCTTGGCCCATTCACTAACTCTTTACCCTCTTATCCATCTTCCGCCCTACCACAACTTGTGACTTGTTTACATTCAAATCGTCAAAATGCGTGCCGTTTTTTGACAAATTAAGTGTGGCCTTATAACACCATGATCTCCTCTCTTTCGATCGGCTAATCGGGCTCGGGCTTCCTATCCGGATCCGGGCCATGAAAGAAAAATCAACTCTTTTCACAAGTCTACTCCTGTTGACTTTCACAACAATTAGGTTATTGCGAACTATGTATCTAGATACTCTGCTCAGAACAAAGGACTTGTATAACTTAAATACTTGATCAAAGTGTTGAATCACCTCCAACTACCCACTATGCTTGATTTATTTAAGCTATTTAGCTCAACCAGGATTTAAAGATAATGATTTACTTCATTCGGTAGTGTCAAATTTAATCCTCTTTTAGTAGATGTTTCACACCATCATCCAGCTCTGCGCTGGATAAATTAATTATATGCTAAGAAATAAATTATCTTAACTTTGCAAAATTTGTCGGATCTATCCTCATTAATTTTTGCTTTAGATACAGGGTCCCTTAAACGAATCACAATACTTATCATGAACCATCAGTCATTCACACAATGGATGATTATTTTGCAATCTGCCAGCATGGTGAAGACAGTTTAGATTGTTTCTATTTTGATTTAACCTGAGTCAAAGGCAAGATTGTAGGTTAGACAATGATGCTTATAAGAAACCAGAATATGGTGGTTTCGTTCTGAATTTTCTTTTTAACCAAAGTTGAAAAACTAAGGTTGGAGTTTTAAAATCTATGATTATTAGGAATATGAGGCTTATGGATGAAAATTATCTGACCGAAGAATTAAGAAGAATGCAAGTTTTATTCCTAGAGAATATTAATCAGTTGGGCTTAATTGATAATTAAATATCTTTAATGAGGAATGAACTTTCAGGCAGGGACTATTTGGTCAGAAGCAAGCCGAAACCCTTTCTTATATTTTAATCTTACCGTCATGTTTTCTATCCAAGATGATAGGAGAACTCGTGAGGAAGTGGGGGACAGACGGCTTTCAAAGAAACTCTGAAACCTTCTTCGGTTAAACTTTCTTTTAGAGAAACATGACCCACTATCAAGATTAGGCTGCTCTAAGATTATGTTCTCCTTTAGTTGGAGGAATCTGTCGGTGGATCCGCTAAAGATCAGCAGAGCACAAAAGTTTTAGTAAGAAAAGTTCGGTACAACGGCCATAAGTGACGGAACACAAGACGGATACTGAGCATGAAACAGAATGATCCCGTATGCAGAAGTTTGCTGATTATGTTATATCTGGTACGAAACGCAAGAAAGGAGAGGCTACTGTAATTGATAGATTAAGGAATACGTTAAATGCGAGAAATGGTGGTAGAAATTTGAGTAAGAATTAGTTAATTGAAGGATTGTTAAAGAGAGATGTTGAACCGCCATCCAAGCTCCTTCTTGGGTCATCAAACCTTAATAACCCGGACTAACGAGTTCAGACTGATAGTTTTGTAATCTGACCATCACGTGTGCAGGATTACATTTCATTAATTTAACCAGCGTTACTTATGAACTAACGCGATCTCGGTCATCCTTTTTCCTTTTTTTTTATTTTTACGCTGACCGGTTTTGTGTACAAACGTTGACATGCATACACACCCAGACAGAATATATTGTACGTGAAATAACCATGCATATCTTAAATTTTTCGTTTATATGCATATATCGTATGGAAGAAAGCCGGCTTGAGGTTTTGTAAAAAATGACTCCCAGCT